GAGTCGCTGAATCCAGTTGCTAATAAAGATAAAGCTGTTCACCACCCCACTGGTCTCTATGGAACCCCAAAGGTATGGAGGTCTGAGTGAGTACCCCATCCCTGGAGCCCTATGGCACTGAGTAAACATTATAGGGATTAAACCCCACTGCATCCCCTCTCCCACCGGCAGGGACCCCAGCTGCCCAGTTTTTTTCCCTCCTGCTTGGGGCTCAGCTTGGCCCCGGACCCCCAGAGCTGCCCTCCCAGCCAAGGGGCAATCCCACTGCACTTCCCAGCTGCTGGGAGCTGGGTTTCGCTTGGGGCAGCCCAGGAGCAAAGGCCAGGTCAGGAGGAGGGAGGGGAAACAAAATGGCCCCAAGCCCAGGTGGGGACATGCACAGAGGAATCATGGTGGCTCTGTCCTGGGTGTGAGGCCCACGGAGCAGAGGGACCCAGGCTGGGGGAGCGGAGAAGCAGCTCCAGTGTGTCCATGCTAGCCCAGGGCAGAGCCAAGCTGAGCATACAGCTGGGGGAGCACCTCCTGCCTGGCTGCCCCTTCTGCCTGCTGGAGAGTGGCACCTGGGCCAGCCCCAGCCCCTGCAGTGGCGTACATGGTGTGGACTCAGCCTCAAGTGCTATTACCTGTGTTCCCCTGGCTGGCGGACACCCAGCTGGGTATGCACTGCTCACTTCCTCTACCCAGCGGTGGTGGGAGTGCAGCACAGTCCCATGTGCCAGGCATGGAGCACAACCCCTACAGTTTCCCTGCTGCCGTCAGGGGGACCCACCCTGGCTGTACTAGTAGGCGCTACCCATGCTGCCAAACTGCAGTTGACTATTGGGCAGGCAGATGGCAATGGCGGTGGAGAAGCTGTATGGGTAGTGCCCTGCGCCTGGCATACGGGGCCATGCTGCAGTATTGCCACCACTGCCAGGTAGGGGAAGTGAACAGTGCATGCCCATCTCAGCACGCAGTAGCATGGGGGATGCAGGTAATAGCATTTGGGGCTGAAGGGGTGAGCCTGTGCCATGCACATCACTGCAGGGGCCAGGGTCAGCCTGGGTGCTGCTCTCCAGCAGTTAGAATAGGCTGAGGGGCAGCAGCTGCAAAGTTTGAATCAATTCAGGCTTGGGCTTTTTGACTGACTGTACTTAGCTTGGGTGAGGGATGCTATGAAAGCTCAGCAGTTCACTACAGAGGGTAGGACCAGGAAAAATAGGCTCCCAAGCAAACAGGCCTTGATCCTAGTTAAAGTGAATTGTTAGCCTTCAGAACTCTACTATTGCTCTTGTCTTAATCATATTTACTCAAATACAAGACAAGGTTATGAAGAACCTCCTTTTATAACTGCATACAAGGAAACCTCATTAGATAGACTGTTTATCAATAATTGTTGCCTAAGGCAGCATGTGCTCAGTAACAGAAACTGACTATGAAGTTGATTAAATGCAACCAACACTGAACATGACTATACAACATATAGCCCATGTTGGGATACAGATGGGAACCATTTTTTTTGCCCTTAAAAAAGGGGTGAGAGTTCCCTCCACAGGGAACTGGCAGTGGCCTTGGAGGTACTGCAATACCAGGCCAGCACCAGGAGAGCCAGAGCCAGCCCTGATACCCTCCCCTTGGTGCCAAAAAATGCTACATTTGATCGTAGTCAAAAGGTTGAGATGCCTACCATAAAGCTAGGTCAGTGCAGCCCATCTAAATATAATCTATGGAAGTGCCAATTAAGCGCAGTCCCCCCTCACCACCGACTCTTTTTCAGCCACTACATTGCATACAGTTCAGCTTCTTTGTCACTTCCACAACTGAGCTGTGCCTTTCTTTCCCATTTCTTTCATTCAGAATCCCTCTATCGCCGAGTCTCTCAGCCTGGCACGTATGATTAGTTTGGCCCTGCCTCCATGAGGTGAAGTCAAACCAGATTGCCCTGCACCTCTTCTACATCGATTTCATAGACATTAGGGCTGGAAGGGACCTTGG